GGTAAAAATCTTCAATTTCTTCATCTTTGTCTTTAGTGGTTGGTGCGTAAATTTGACTAATAATTGGATTAACTAGTCTTCCTGTAGGGATATGAACATCTTTCTGTCACTGAAAGTCCTGTACTTCAGGATAGATCTTGAAACATTCTTTTTGATAATGAAATGGACACCATTCCTCTTTAACCTGTCATTCCTGGCATAGTAGACCATATGATTGTCTGATTCAAAATGGCCACTATCAGTCCATATCAGCTCACTAATGCCTAGGATATCGATCTTTATGTGTTCCATTTCATTTTTGACAACTTCCGTTTTCCTAGATTCATACTTTGTACATTCTATTTTCTGATTATTAATGGATGTTTGGAGCTGTTTCTTCCCATTTTGACTTGTGCCCCATCAGCAAACGATGGTCCCGAAAGCTTTACTCCATTCACATCATTTAGGTCGACTCTACTTTGAGGAGGCAGCTTTTCTCCAGTCGTATGTTGAGTGCATTCCAACTCGATGGGCTCATCTTCCAGCACTGTATGTGAGTGTTTCATGGATACTCATAAAATTTTCCAGTAATATATCAAAGAGTGTTTCAGTGCTATTCATAAAGTTTTCACTGGTCAATCTTCTCAGAAATGGATGGCCCCTTCCTTCTTCCCAGTCTTTCTTAGTCTGGAAGCTCTGCTGAAACCTCTCCACCATGGATGACCCTACTGGTATTTGAAATACCAGTGGCATAGCCTCCAGCCTCACAGCAACATGCAAGCCACCACAGTACAACAAACTGACAGATGAGTGGTGGAACCACAGGCATAGATGTTAGGAATTACAACACATATTTTTTGAGGACACAAGTCAATTCATAACAGTGTTTAAGTTTGAATAGTAACATATGTACTGGTTTCCCTGTAGGCATATGGATATTATCCTATTACTGACAGCACTATATTTCAAAATAGATCTTGATATATTCTTTTCTTTAAATGGTTTTTATTGAAATATAATTTATGTACGGTGAAATACACAAAACTAAAGTGACATGGATCAATGCTTTTTTTTTTTCAGTGTTCCCTCCACTACCCTCCCACCCCTGGCAACCAACAAAGAAAGGTTCCCTCCTTTCCTTGACTCTCCACAACAACGAACTAATTCTATATTTGTCCTTCTGTGATTGACTTATTTCACTCAGCATAATGTCCTCCAAGTTCATCCATGTTACATGTTTTTTTGCAGACTCTACATTATTTTTAGTGCTGCATGGCATTCCATTGTGTGTATAACCATAGTTTGGTCATCCACTCTTCTGCTGATGGCCACATAGGTTGTTTCCATCTTTTTGCCATTGTAAATAGTGCTGCGATGAACACAGTATATGTGAACATATATCTGTTCCTGCTCTCACCTCTCTAGGATATATACCTAGTAATGGGATTGCTGGGTCAAATGGTAACTCCAATTCCAGCTTTCTAAGGAATCACCATACTGCTTTCCACAGTGGTTGTATTACTTCACAGTCCCACCAGCAGTGTATGAGAGTCCTAATCTCTCCACATCCCTGTCAGCATTTGTTATTTTCTGTCTCATTGAACTTTGCCATCAGTGCTGGGGTGAGATGGTATCTCATTGCTGTTTTGATTTGCATCTCTCTGATGGCCGATGATTGTGCGCATCTCTTCCTGTATTAGCTGGCCACCTGAATATCCTCCTTGGTGAAGTGTCTATTCATGTCTTCTGCCCATTTTTCAATTGGATAGTTAATTCTTTTGCTGTTGAGGCATTGGAGTTTTCTATAAATCTTAGAGATAAGTTCCTTGCCAGATATGTAATTATCAACAAGTAAGAATTTGTTGCTGTCATTTTTGTTATGTGCTTTTTCGTGGTGTTGATTTTTTCGTTTCATATAATTTTCTGTGCTGAGCTCATTTTGTTTATGAATCGTGTTATCACTTCTTTCGTTGCTATTGTTTTAATATTTGCTAAATATTTGTGTTGGTCCTCTTTTTAATTTTGATGTGAAGGTTTATCATTTTTATTTGAGGTTACCCTGTGACCTACAGTTTTCTTCCCAAGTTTAGAACAGTCCATTCTATCTTGTAGCTGTCTTGATTTCCCTAGCATTTAGAAGTTCTTTCACTACACAATTTTCCCCCTCTTTTTGGTTTATAGTTGACCTCATTTGTCAACTGATGTCTGTGGTTCTCTGTTTACAATCTTGTAGGTTTATTTACTTTGAATACTTCCATAGCTGGGTTGGTTTCTGGGTTATGTCACCATGTATGTTAATGGTCCGTTATTGTTTGCTGTTGTTGGTTCTCTAGCATCTCTTGCAAAGTTGGTCTGGTTTTTAACAAATTCCCTTAATTTCTGCTTACCTGGGAATGTCCTAATTTCATCATCATATTTGAGGGACAGTTTTGCTGGGTATATAATTCTTGGTTGGAAATTTTTCTTTTTCAGAGTTTTACATATACCATCCCAACATCTTCTCACCTGTGTGGTTTCTGCCGAGAAATCCAAGCTTAGTCTTATTGGTTGCCCCTTGTAGGTAACTTTTCATTTTTCTTGTGCTGCTTTCAGGATTCTTTCTTTGTCTTTGGTTTTGGTGAGTTTGATGATGATATGTCTGGGTGATTTTCTCTTGGGGTCTATCCTGTTTGGGGTTTGTTGGACTTCTTGAATGGGTATATTCTCATCTTTCGTGATACCAGGAAAATTCTCTTCCAACAAATCAACAATTTTCTCTGTGGTTTTATTTGTCTCTTCCTGTTCTGGAATTTTGATGACACATAGGTTATTACTTTTGATGGTATCCCATGTGAACTTTAGGCTTTCTTCATTTTGTTCTGATCTTTTTTCTGGTTGATCACTTTCTAAAGCAGTATTGAGGTATTTGCCTTCAATCTCACTAATTCTGTCTTCCATCGATTCAGTTCTACTTCTTTGCCTGTTCAATGTCTTATCTATTTCTGAAATTTTAGTATTATTCTTCTGGATTTCTATGTGTAGATCTGGTATCATTTCTAATTTTTCATTTATTTTGTCATTTTGTTCTTGTATTGTCCTTCAAAATTGTTCTAGGGTTTTCTCTGTGTTTTCCTGAATTTTGTCAGTGTTCTCCCTGATCTGTCTTTTAATTTGTTGAAGATACCTAAATATAACTCCTTTGAATGCCTTATCAGGGAGTTCCAATCCTACATCTTCCCCAGGGATGTGCTCTGGGTTTGTATCATGGTCCCCTGTCACTCCTGATTTATCTTGCTTCTTTGTGTGCACTGTGATGCTCTGTTGTCTCTGAGGCATTGTGACAGCTCTGTGCTTATATTTAATTGGTGATTGTATGTTGGAGTGACTTGCCCACAATTTTTGTTTTGTTTGTATGTTATCTTTGTAAACAGGGTACTGTGCTGTGCTCCTCTATTCACTAGTTGGCAGCACCCATACACTCACTACCTGTCTCCTTTCCTGTCAGCCTCCCATATGTTCCTGTTGTCCTTGGCAAATGGATCCTATTATTAGGTCCTGTTTTTGTTCAGGTTTTTCCACTAGTTAGTGCCTAATCCACCTTTGTGTACTTCCTTTCAAAGCTCGGGGCTTCAGGATGATCCTCTGTATCTATGTCAAGTGGTTTCCCTTTTCATTATTCAAGAGGGTCTGTGTAGCATGTCTGCCCATTCCTCCATGCTACCAGAAGTCCACCTTGAAATATTCTTTTTGACTATAAATGCAACTCCATTCCTCTTCAATTTGTCATTCCTAGCATAGTAGACCATATGAATGTCTGGCTCTAAATGGCCAGTTCCAGTTCATTTCAGCTCACTAACTCCTAGAATATCAAACTTCAAGCTTTGTTCCATTCATTTTTGACACCTAATTTTCCTTGATTCATACTTTGCACAATCCATGTTCTGATTATTAATGGTACAATCCATGTTCTGATTATTAATGGATGTTTGCACTGCTTTTTTCTCATTAATGTTTATGTACAATACAAAGAGTAATTTAAAGTGGATAGGCAGGCATATTTTAGAGAATATAGGTGAAGTAGTAGGTGCATGTGAATAAATATTGGCATATACTTGCATTTGTAAGAAATAATAGATGCCACTTACTGAGCTCTTGATATTAGTTAGGCCTGAATAGTACCTCATTTCATCTTCACAGCAACCCTAGGAGGTTTGCTGTAGGTCAAAAAAAGGTCAGACATCCTTCCTACTCAAGTTTAGAAAGGCTTGTCCAAATAGGGCTTTGATTCATGGATTTCTTTTCTTCCTTGCAGCAGGCATAAATTTTGCAGCCAATTTTCTAACGTCTAACTTGGCTAGGAATAATTCTTAAGTGAAAGCTGCAAATATTCAATAAGTAAATTATCATTTTGAAAATATCAAAATATACTAATCCAGTAGCCATGATAATAGACATTCAAATACTATTTGGAAAATACTTATACCTGCATTGTTCTTATACCTTTCATCCTATCTTCACAGGAATATACTATTAGATCATATGCAATTAACAATAATAAAATCATGTTGATTCTGACTCATAATGACCCCTATTGGATTTCCAAGGCTGTAAATCTTTACAGAAGTAGATTTCTTCATCTTCCTCCTGAAGAGCAGCTGGTGGGTTTGAAGTGCTGACCTTCTGGTTTGCAGCCAAAATGCCTTACCTACTATGCCACCATAACTTCTTGCAGTTAATAGTATAGCTAAAACAAATCAAATCTGTCCTCTTATGATTTAAAGGCACTCCAGGGCATTACAGTAACTCAGGAAAATCATCATGGTCTTGGATTGTCAAAGTGCAAGAGATGTACATTAATAGATATTTCCAGGGCATCTTGAGAAATCAATTAAGGCTTATTGTAAAACCAGAGGCTTACCTACTCTAGGAAGTGAAATGAGATACACTGTTCTTTGACAAAATTTCCCCCAAACTCAACGGGAGCATATCTTTAAGGGCATTAAGAGTCTGCAGACCTAGAATAAACAAAAAACCTCACCAACCTCTGATCGATAGCGTCACCAAAGCTAGGTGTTCCTTTTTGTAAAATCCATTATCAGTCTTCTGGACAACACAGGTGTATATGCCCTTGTCTGACAGGCGCAGGGCCAGGATGACAATGGAGAGGTTGTTGGTAATGTCTGCAATGGTTCGGTTTGCATACTCTGGCCACACTGATACTTTCCCTGACATGATAGCCAGCACCATTTCATTTTTCTTTTGCCAGTAGATCCGAAAATTTGTAAGTTGATCAGTGGGAATGTTGTACTCACAGGAGAGTACTGCCATTTCTTTCACTGCTTTGGTCACCTGGCTGTCACCTAGGGGGAGGCAAAGAGAACAAGATTTTATACAGAACTCAGGGTGTTGGGCCTAAGGATTGCGCATGATCAAAGCATTCAGTCTTTTTGGTTCCCAGTGCTTTTTAAACATTTTGTAAGTCACTGTGTAGAAAACAAATTACAATTGCATGAAAATTAAATTTGGTTTCTAAAATAATAAAGACACATCACTGAAAACACAATCATGGACCAATAAGTATAGTGTAACCAATAGACTTCCTTTATCTTGAGGATTTTCCAGAAACATGTGGGATTTGGAATCAATATGAGCACTCTCTCAGACCCGGTAATTTTTAGCCCTATTACTTGTTATTTTCTTTACCCAGTATAATACCACCCTCAAGAGAAGTCAGCCCTGACCACGGTTGTGGGAGCATGATGGTGGAGAGGAAGGTGCTTCTGCCCATCTGACAGGAGGTCCTATGTTGAGTCACTCTCATATTGTCTGTTCATCACTCCCCTTCATTTTTGCTTCCTTTACGGCTCTTCTAAGGATTCAAACATGGCACAAGCTGTTCAGCACTTGACTACCATCCAAAAGTTTCATTGTTTGAACCTGCCCAAAGGCACTGCAAAAGACAGCCCTGGTGATCTGCTTCTGAAAAGTCACAGCCTTGAAAACCTTTTGAAGCAGTTCTACTCATTATAGTCAACTGCAAACTATCTGCTAAAAACACTCAGTCTCATGTAACTTCACTGGGTTGACACAGGAATAAAGTCTGGCCCATCTCTTTAACACACCCTGATTCACCCTCTTTTCACTTGATTAACACAGAACTTGTAAGATCTCAGGACTGGACAATATCTTAAAGGGAATAATTTGTGAGTGCCCTCTCCTAACATTCCTACCCAAAGGTCTCTCAGTTTGTTGATGTAGAAAAAACATGGGCTTTTCCTGGAGAGAACAATCACGGGAGAAGGAAGGGCTGCTTATGCACAAGGAGACAGCTCAGGGGGCAGAAGAGTATGGAGGGATGGACACTGGGAAGTGGTAACTATGGGGAGGAAGTGGGAAGGGAGCTGTTGCATTGTGGTAAACTGTGGTCAATGACATGAGACAAAGTATATGTGAACTGCTGTATAGAAAGTGAATTTGCTTTGTAAATCTTCACCCAAATCACAATAATAATAAAAAAAAAAGGGCTTTTATGAAGTTCAATAAACTTCACAATAGCTGTGTAACCTCAGGCAGATTACTAACCTCTCTGAACCCCAGTCTTCTTATTGTTACTTATGAGGCTTAAATGAGAGGAAGCATCTAATTCAGCAAGTAAGTAGGCACTTACTTAGGAGCTCTAAGGGCATAGTGCCTAACCATTTGACTGCTCACCAGGAGGTTGGCAGTTCAGCTGCTCCAATGGAAGGCAGATGAGGCAATGGACCTCTGTAAAGATCTACCACCTTGGAACCCCAACAGGGGTGGAGATGAGTTGGAATCGACTTGATGACCATGGGTTTAGGCACTTACTAAATGTCAATCCCATTTTCCTTTCTCCAAGGGAGAAGGAATTTACTAACTTCTGTTGTTGTTGTTGTTAGGTACTGTCAAGTCATTTTCGACTCATAGCGACTCCATGTACAGCAGAATGAAACACTGCCCAATCCTGTGCCAGCTCCACAATCCCTGCTGTACTT